ATAAATTACTGATAATGCTGTCAAAACTACAAACACCTTGGGCAGGCTTACTAATACAGTTGAACTTTTCTTCCTCAGATTTACCGTGCTTTTCTCCCATGGAAACGCCGTCGACCTGGGCCAGATGAGTAGTTTCTACATTGGCCTCGGCACTCGCATCAACTGCAACATTTTCTCCTACGACTACTCGGGCTACGGTGTCAGCACCGGGAAGCCCACGGAGAAGAACCTGTACGCAGACATAGATGCTGCCTGGCACGCTCTGCGCACGAGGTACAGTGAGAGGAAACTCTCTCAGATGTTCTCGTCAAGATTTGTTTCACTGTCATGTTCTGATTTTAATGTTTTACAAACGATTAATGTTTAAAATATGGTTAAAAAATTGAATTAACAGTTGGTCAAACAAAGTGAAAAATAAAGATTGTGAGGTTATTTTATCAGCTGGTAAAGATGAGTGAAGTGCAGCTGTGATCAGGATGAAGAAAGTTCAACTAAAGCTGAGATGAAGGATCAGTCAGTAACAGAGATGTTCTAATATACAGTACTTGTATTCAGATCAGATGACTGAACAAACAATACACTGTCTGTTTTCACTTTTGCTCAAGACCAATCTGCAGCCTACAAGATGACGTTTTTTTTTATTTGTTTGTTTTTTTTACATCCAGAGCAAGAATTTGTAACAGAGTTAAAGAAATGTGCTGACTTCACGTCTGCTTAGATCAATTAAAAGACCAGCGAATGGAGTCGAAGTACAAACACGTGGATGTTTGTTTAAAGACTTTGCAAGAGAATCATCCTGAACTCGACAAATGACAAAAAGTGCAAAACTTATTAGATCAATGGTTTCCAAACTTTTCAGCTTTTGACTCACAAAGGAGCAGTCRAGATCTGTGAGACCAACTGCTTTTGGTTTATAAACATTGTTTTCAGGTCAAATAAACAAGGGCATAGTAACYATATTCATTATGCTATCAATTTTAAGTACACTAAACACACACTTTTGTAACAACCTAAAACAAATAAAAAATGTTCATTTTAAATGTACTGTATTTATTCATCTAAAATACTAGAAATTCAACCCTAAAAATAATCCATAAAGAGGGGGGTAGGATTATACACATGTTATTGATAAGATTTTCATGCTTTTTAAGCTAAAAAAATGATCGTATTATACATGATTAAATACAGTAATTAATTCTGAAAATCATTTCAAGACCCTGCCTTGATGTTTTCAGYTCCCCACTGTGGGTCCTGACCCCATCTTTGAGAACCACTAAATTAGATGACCGTATGTAGACCATAGGATGAAAGACTTTAGCTCATATGAACTACGAATGCACAATATTGGAAAAAACTGGCATGATTTTTTTTTCTAATCATGCGATATATATCGTAATTTGAAAAAATAAACCWAATTTTAACTGTTGAATAACATTTTAAGCAATGCTGCCATATTCCTCTTGTTGACGATGAACMTGCACCGATCTTACCTCTTTGTTGTGCGTGTTACTAGTCTGTTAGGGATGCACGATAACTTATTTTAAGAATCGATACTGATAACCGATAACTTTCTCTTTTCTCTTTCTAATGGCCGATAACCGATAATAACCGATAACATGCCAGGAGATAAGATGAGTCAAAAATGGGTAAGATCATAATATAAATAAACACCAAAACCAAATGACACTGTAAATTATACTATTTGAAATAAACTCTTAGCAAACAAACATTTCTTAAAATATATCAAACAAATCAATTTTTCAAATGGCCATTTTTTAAAATAAGGCACATTAATTATAAAAAGACGACCTTTAACACTGATCTCAGATTTAAACAAAAGAGAAAATAAGTCATTTCACAAGTTCAAAACAGATTATGCACTAACAGACTCAAAGTACATTTGTTTTTATTATTATTAATATCTGATTTAAATATTTTTCTACCTGAAACATTGCTTCTAAGAGTGTGAATGCATTAAGACCACATCTTACTTACAGGCAGACACACAGAGAGGCAGCAGCTCAGCATGGTAAACCGTGGCTAACGATGGTAAACCGTGGCTAACAGGTGGTAAAAGCTTCGGTATTTAGYGAGGGTGAACGGCTGCTTGTCATCATGTCCATCATTAAAATGCTTGAGATCTGCATCCTCTCTGGCAATTTTATTGGATTTGTCAAAAGCCCCAGGAATGATTTAAGTCCCGATGAGTTCTTGAACACTAGCTTGTTGTTGTTAGCATTTTAGCAGACGGACTTTGTGCTGCRTTCAGGAGTTAAGGGACATTACATGTTCTCAAATTGGGAGTAGTTGTTCCGATGTTTATAATTATAAAGTTTGTATGTAACATACACGGTTAATTAGTAAAATAATATATATAATTCTTAAAATGACTTGTTATTTTTCAGCACAGATTATTCTAATTATTGTTCTAGTGAGAAAGTTGTTTATTCTGACGTCACTTGAACGTTGCTCGGGTCGTGTTGGACAGGAAGCGTCTTGACCAAAACATATACAATTAAAGCAGCTCTGGCAAACATACATACATTATCGGTTCTGTTTGTTAGGATATCAAACCGATAAGTATGATGTCATAATTCCCTGATATCTGGCTGATAACTACCGTGCACCCCTAGTTTTTATTGGAGTTATTCTTATCTTTTATTGCGTGCTCTTATTGTGCTTGTGTGCATGTTTCCTTCTTATCATGTGCAAACGTGAACTGCCTTTTACTACCTAACATGTTGTCTCTGTGTCTATCTTAGTTTCTGTTTCCATTCTGCTTTAATATCATATTTTACCTCTTACTCCAGTTTTCTGCAAATTTGCTCATCTTTTTTTGTTTTTGTCAAGATCCTCCTCATTTTTCTCCACAGACAACACTTTTCTGAAAAACGCTGCCATTATTGTCCCACAATTATTACAACAAAATGAAAGTTTTGCCATTCTTGACACAAAAGCGCCCACTTCTGGAAGCAACCTATCAAAATTAAAGTCGTAACATGAACATTTAATGAAATGACTTATGGTTTAATTTGCCTCCTGAATCACAAGACCTGTAGTGTGACAACTGTGCACGCGTACATTAAGATGACAATGCTCAGCCGATATGTCATACARCTTTAATCTGAAACAAATGCAAAATAAATTTAATGTGCATCAGCAAACTCCAAACCTTTTCACTCAAGAATAATGTCAGTTTATTGTAAAGGTGGTGAAGTAGTCATCCTACTTTTATTATGTTTTTGCTTTAATTTAAACATTTTTATTCCAAGTCTACATTACTCTATATTAGGCTAATTTAACATAACATGWATGTTTGACTTTTTTCAGGTGCTGTGATTTTTATTTTTAAGGCAAACAAACATAACATTACATTTGTTTTAAAATATTTTACAACACTGAGTTTATGACTTCATTAATTGTTCTTTTATGTTATTACCCTCAGTTAGTGCTCTTTAACTCTGTTCTTTTTGGCTTTTATTGATAAAGATTTCTCTCCATTGTACTCAGGTTTTGTATCAGTCCTGAGAACATTATCCTGTATGGACAGAGCATCGGTACCGTACCCACCGTGGACCTGGCRTCACGGTACGAGTGTGCCGCCGTGGTTCTTCACTCACCTTTAACATCTGGTATGAGAGTGGCCTTTCCTGAAACAAAGAAGACCTACTGCTTTGATGCTTTCCCCAAGTAAGACTTCATTCGGTTCTTTGTGTTTTTACTCCTCTCATTGTAACGTCAGGACTAAACCCCGCGTGTGAAATTTGTTGTTTTCTTGTTTGGATATTCTCCACTACACTAAAGCATTATTGGCACATTCAATAAGTTTTCATTTAGACATCAGAGTCTTTCAGGACTTGGGCGTCTTCTGGTTGTCTCAGTACGTTTAGAAGTCACGCCGATGGGGGTCAAAGTCAGCCCACCCCTGATGCTCCTCTGTGCTGCAGAGCGAGGTAGTWTCTGAGGCGAGACCGTCGACGTGTGGAAAGATAAGATTGTGCTGCAGCTCTATCATGCCACGAAGTGGTGATGCGTTGTCTGTGTGAGCAGCCAGGTGTATAATTAAACAACAAAAAACAGATTTGTTACTAAGCCTGTTGCGATAACCAATAAATCAATTAATTGCATGATAAATTAAAATGAAGTTGATCTTTTTCATTTGCCTGCTTGTTTTCTTTTCTACTCCGTAGCGTAGGGAGGAGTGAACTCTGGCACCAGGTATTTACCAGGTGCATGGGCAGGTAACGTGTGTAGCCTGAGAGCCCTGTGAACAGGCATCTAGCTGTAGGAGAGTTTTCAGTTTTAGGTCACTTCACGACGCCCTCAGGGCATCGTGCTGAAACTTGGGTTTGCCGAGAGCTTTACTTTTTTTTCTTAAACAAACTACATAAATATTGTAAATTCGTGAGCATTGTGACGGTGACTGCAATTCTTTTATGRASCCAGACACGGACAGCTTCAGCAGTTATTGTTTTGTGTTGTTTTCACAATTTCCGCTTCCGGTCATTTCGTAACTTTTTTAACATACGTAAATTTATAAATGTCCGTAATAAGGATGCAAGTTAATGATTAATGGATTAATCTAAAGTTGATTGATCTTATCGATCGATTAAAGATTAATTGATTAGTGGCCATTTTCCTAAAAACCTGACATTTGTATCAGGGGTCTTTCTATGACATGAAGGCCTAATTTTTTACACTAAATTCAAAAAAAGTATAGTATTATTTTATAAAATTTATTGTGCCAGCTGTATTAAACACTGACTGAATAAACAGAAAATTGTGGATTACTGTCTCACACATTATTAAACTTGGACATATTTATAAAACATAACAAAACAGGAATCTGTTAGGTTGTTAGTTAGAAGAGAAGGAAAGAAAAAAATAGTAAAACACTTAATTTACCCTGAACAYACTTGTAAATGTAAAACTAACATTTAAACACAGAGTAACATTTTGATCTAAAGATTTATTCAAAAATAAACCATAAACATTACCTGAGAGGGGTAAACATACTGATGAGGACTGGAGCTGTGTTTGTTTACATTCCCTGTGGTTCTGTCTGGGCTGGACTGATTTGATGTTCAGTTACTGTTCATGTGATTGATTCACTGGCCAGGTTAGGTCATAAAGATGAGATCAACTTCACGTTAATTATTTGTAGTGACTAACKTTTTTGTTTTGTTCTTTCACACGGAGTTAAACTTTACAAGAAGCTAACGTTAGCTACAGTTAGCTTACCATTCTCTCTGTCRTCCTGCTTTTTTGTTTTTAGCATCATACTGCTGGATGGTCCGGTTCAGCCTTCGGTACTTTTCCTTCGAGTTTGGTGTAGTCCATTATTGTTGTTGTATTGCAAATAAAACTAAACCAGATTTGTGCGTTTCATAATGACGCAGCCCACATGGAGACGGTGTGGCTGCCTGATCCGTACCGGAAGCGCGATCCATACCGTCCCGGGAAAATTGTTTTTAGCATGTAGCATTTCACTAAACTAATGACAGAATTCATTCAGTTTCAGTCTTTCATCACCTGCAATGTTTCATAGAAAAGGCAACGTTTGCAGCAGCTGTGGATTTTTATTCCAGGAAAAAAATAAAACGAAGATAAGATGAGTTATAACATGATTGTCTAGAAAATAATTACTGTAGTAAGTTATTATAAATAAATATGTACGCATCGTAAATCTATATCTTATTAATCAAAATGTATACAATATTGAAACTGTTTTCAGAATATAATGTATTGCACATTTATAATTAAGTATAGAAGTAAATATTTTAATTGTCTTCCCCTAAATCGAGCACATTACAGAAGTCTATCATTTAGTGTATGCACAATGAGCTGACAGTATGGATCGTGCTACTGGGACGGATTGAGCAGCCACAGGTATTTACTGAGCGGTAGCTGTTTTGTTTTTTTCTGACATTTTGCTAATGTTACTTAGCTGTGGTGGCCTTCTCACATAGGACTGAATCCAAAAGGCATAGAGCAACGATTTGACGAGAGTTAGCTGACAGTTAAAGGGGACCTATTATGCAAAATTCACTTTTTAAAGATTTTTTTTTACTCAATTTTGGGTATGTGCTTGTTACAAAACAGTCCTAGGACCAAAGAAATGCACCAAGGGGCATATTTACTGTAAGTAAATG